CGACGTTTTCAAAATCCCAGTGGTTGTCACGCAAACCTCGCTTTCTATTCCCATTCAAACCGCTTCATATCATTCAGATCGAATCACTTTCATTCTTTATTGCACTCATTCTTCCGTAGAAGGACCGGCTGACGCATGCTCTACAGGTATGAGAGGTACCCGCTCGTAAAGTAGGCAAAAATCGCATTTTCACTTATTCTGCGCAGTTAAGCTGGGATACCTCCATGTGCGTCGCACTGCTTAACCGCGCGGCGAAGGAAGTTTATGATACCTCCCTTTGACCTTAAACGGTTTCGAATTTCAATACATTTCTAGTGCGTAGTTCCAACGGCAATCGTCCCAAGGAAGACTAATTTGTATTATTTGAAAGAGCTAAATATAACCTCCTTTGTGTTCCTCGCCTGGGATACTTCCATGTGCTGCGCACCGACGGGGCACACAAATTCAGTACATTAAACGGTTAAACCATTCAACACTATCAGAAAGAAGATGAAAATAAATGTTAGCCACGGTCGGATTATTGAAAATGATCCCACTGTGCGGCGCCAGGCGGCCGGTAACGCTTTTCTAAAATGATAGGGCCGTATTCAGAGTCGCAACTTAAGCAAGGACTTAAGGTGATGCGAGCGTCGAAAACTTTACCGACAGTCCCTAGAAAAATCCCTAGACGCGAGTTTTCGATTTTCGTCGTCATTTCTAATCAGAATGCAAAAAAATTGGAGGAACGTGTCCAGAAGGCTCTAAAGAATGGCGCTCTGGTCCTTATTTTACCCAAATCGTCAAAAAGTTATAAAATATTGAAATTTGTGTCTGTCCACAGTCAAGAAAATGGCGGATCGGACTCACCTGCATTAATTCATTTGTAATATAAACATTTTTGCGAAACGAATGTCCAAATAGAGACCAGAGCGCCATTCTTTGGGTTGGATAGAGCAAAACGAGCACCCAGGGGATGGTGTACAAGCTTTCGTTTAGACAAAAACCGAAAACTACGATTTCGTTGACTTATCACTCGCGAAAGACGTCAAAAAGGTAAAACAGACCACAAATTTAGTTCCTCGTCTTTTCCGTAGGGCGCAGTTTGTTCGTTTTCTGTGCTTGACCGCGCGCTTATTCGCAGTTCGTATATGTGAATATGTGTGCGTCGACCGAACCGTCGATGACGATACAATGTATCGTGGAGAATGGGAAGTTCGAGTCTTGAAGAGGCGATGAACTCCGACGCGTAAATTTTTTTTTCACGCATCGTTCTATCGACTATGATAGTGTTACGACGAGCCGCCTAAACGTACGTTAATCGAATTCTTCCCACGATCGGACAAACATCGTGTTACGGCCACCCGCCTAAACGATCGATATTCGAACAATTGAACTCCTCACGACCGGACACCTAAACATCATATTGCGACCACCTACTTAAGTATTCGATAAGACGCGTTCTCACGGACATCCCACCTTGTCAATCATCGGCCCCTTCTCCACCACCAACGACATTATAAAAGACCTTACCGGACATAAGCGCAGTCAGTCGGGATCATATTATAAAAATAAAGTGCTAAACCTTTAAAAGTGCCATTCATTTAAAAACCTGTGAACTTTCCACGTGACAATAGCGATTTTCAACCCATGTGCCACAAGACGTACTATGATTATTTTTTGTTGCTATTATTATTCTTTTTTTTTAGTGAAACTGAAGAACAAATACGTCCTTCCCGATTTCGATGATTTTTTGATATGTTATAAAAATTGATATTCTGAACAATTTGGTGAATTTGATGATTACTTATGAAAAGCACCCCGAAAATAAATCTGTTGCCAGAGTTATTAAAATTTTTTTATGTTTTCTCAGCATAGAATGTGATATGCTGGATTCTCCTGATTTTGCGTTACGCCCAAATATTGGATGAATAGATAACAAAAATGTGATGCTGGAAGAACAACACGGCTGGAGCGAGTTCTTCAATGCTGGTGAACATAGAAAAGGACAAATAGCGAAAGAGAAAGAGGTCCGAGAATTAAAGGGCCCGAGAAAAAACATTTGAGTGAAACAATATTAATTCAACAATAACTTTTTTATTTTTCATTTTTGCTAAATGAAACTTTTACCAATGTAATTGTAAGGTTCTTCTGATTAAAATAAGACCAAACACCATATAATTTGCATTATTTTTACTTATTTAGATATAAATAAGTAAATAAATAATTATAATTCAAATTATGTCATGTTTGATCTTGTTTTAATCAGAAAAATCTCATAAATACGTTAATAACATTGCCATTAAAAAAAATTCAAAAATAAAAAGATTTTAATCTTAAATTTTGATTGTGTTATTATTGTCTCACACGTACACTGAGTTGCATTGAACTTGTCACAGTGAAGTTGGCTACAAATTCACTAACGCATTCACGCCGCGTCGGTGAGTGAATGCGTGGCTAACTTCGCTACACATTCACGCCGCGTCGGTGAGTGAATGCGTGGCTAACTTCACTAACACATTCACGCCGCGTCGGTGAGACGATGGGCGAGATAGACTCACCGACGCGGCGTGAATGTGTTGGTTGTGAAGTCTCGGATTTCTCTCTCTCACTGACGAGGGGAACTACCCAAGTGTTACGCTCACTTATTAATGACACTTTGCCACCTTGTAGAGCTCGTCGCCCTGAACACGCCTATACCCCCTTTTGGGGGCAGACGGCTAATTGTTTAAAAGATATTAACAATTAAAGTTAGTTACTACTTACATTGAGAAGCATGACAAACTAACACATATAAATGCTTAGCTCCGCGGTAAAACGCTTGACTCACAATCTAACTGTCCACGGTTCAAGTCCATGGTTCTGAACTTTTTTTTCTTTTTCTTTTTAATGATAATTTGTCTCTTTTTGAATAACTATTACAACTGTGCTATAATCATTGCATTTATTAATAGGTAATTAGTTACATGTGCTGAAATTTTTATAGAATTTAAGTTATCTTTTCTATCCAATGCGTACATTAACACCCTTACCGCATTCAAAATTTACTAGCGTTTATTTGTTATTATACATACACAATTAATTTCCATAAAATACGAATATAATTTCTGTCCTATTGTTTTGGATTCTTCACTAATGTCTTCTGCGTCTTCTTCTAATGTTGTAAATATAAATTATAAATTTGCACAGTAGTATAAATGAATGTAACTAAATAAATATAATTAAATATATTGAACTTGTAAAAACAAATAATAACAAATAAACGCGTGTAAATTCTGAATCCGGTAAGGGTGTTAATGTACGTATTGGATAGAAAAGATAACTTAAATTCTATAAAAATTTCAGCACATGTAATTAATTACCTATTAATAAATGCAATGATTATAGCACAGTTGTAATAGTTATTCAAAAAGAGACAAATTATCATTAAAAAGAAAAAGAAAAAAAAAGTTCGGAACCATGGACTTGAACCGTGGACAGTTAGATTGTGAGTCAAGCGTTTTACCGCGGAGCTAAGCATTTATATGTGTTAGTTTGTCATGCTTCTCAATGTAAGTAGTAACTAACTTTAATTGTTAATATCTTTTAAACAATTAGCCGTCTGCCCCCAAAAGGGGGTATAGGCGTGTTCAGGGCGACGAGCTCTACAAGGTGGCAAAGTTTCATTAATAAGTGAGCGTAACACTTGGGTAGTTCCCCTCGTGAGTCCTCGGCGTACTTTATGCAATTTGATCTGCGTTGTCAGGTAGATAGAGGTTCTCACTTACCTTTCGCTGGATGAGTAGAATCTATCTATGGACGGAACCTGTGGTGGTGTGTCGTCCAGGTGTTGGAACGGTAGGGTAGATGTTTCGAGTAAAGATCACGCATTTTCGATCACAATGAATGTTTATTCGTTACTGGTACAGTTCTTGATTCGCGCACGTTTACAATCGAGTCTTACAGAATCTTGCTCTGTCGGAGCCCTGAGCTTCGTAGCAGAGTCATAAACGCTAGACTTAGTAAATTTATTGATATTACCGGAATCTTGCTCTGTCGAAGTACTGAGCTTCGTAGCAGAGTCGTGTAGATTCTAGAGTATCGAACTCTGAGCGGTACTTCGCGGATTATCTTCGCGGATTTAATGATTTACAGATGGTCTGAGTGATCTAGTTTGATCGCGATACTTTCGGTTTCGTACTATGTTGATAAGTCGATGAACCGTTTAAATGCACTGATAAGAACTGCGCCTATGAGAACTTCTTACGAGAATTATTGGTAAAACCTGACTGCTTGCGGGCGGGCCCGGTCGCGTTATTTTATATTGATAAATGAGGTCGACATTTGATTTGGCAATTCGGGTGAACCACCTCGTTCGGATCGTCAGCGTTCTCGCCGTACGACGACCCGGCTGAGTTGCTTACTCAGAATTTGCAGAACGATGAATTTGGATGGTGCAATAGAAGTTTAAAGAATTTGGGTGATGAAATAGAAGTTTCAAGAATGCGTCGCAGGACGTGACAATACATATATTGTACTGATTTTAATTGTGAAATCAATCACAAAATTAAGGAAACTTATGTTTATTTACATGCATATAGAATGTGTCACAGGACGTGACATGGTGAATTTGTAGCCAACTTCATTGCGACAAGTTCAATGTAACTCAGGGTACACGGGTATTTCAACTTGCTTTTTTCCCTGTACGCTGCTTCGATTCTCGGCAGTCACCAGATCAAAGGCGAGCCGAATTCGCTCGAGAAACTGTGATTTCTCCGGTAACACGCAAAAATTGGTCTGATTCATCGTACATAATACATATAGCTATCGTAGCATCCGTGTGTCATTTAGGTGTATGCGAAGAGTAACGTAGAATAGCATGCCGTTAGTTGGATGCGATAACTGAGGTGGCGCTGAAATCAGTTTCTGTTCGGCCTAATTTCGGAATTTCGGAATTTCGGAATTCGGAGTTCGGCCTCGACGCTCGCATCACCTTAAGGCCCGATACACACTAACGGTTCGGTCCCGGTCCGGTCTCGGTCTGGTAAAATCTTACTGCACGACTAGATCCACACTATGGCGGTTCGGTCCCAGTCCGGTCTCGGTCCGGTAAAATCTTACCGTACGACTAGATATACACTATTCGGTTCGGTCCCGGTCCGGTCTCTGTTCGGTAAAATCTTACCGAACCCATACTGCTATGCCGCTTTCGAGCCGCTCTCGATCTGATAGTCAATTATAAAAAGTCTTTTTCGATTGTACTTTTGGTATTAGTAGATGCAAATTATAAATTTACTGCTGTAGATATAGGTTCATATGGAAAAAAAAATATATATATATATACTGATCGAATTGAGTAACCTCCTCCTTTTTCAAAGTCGGTTAAAAAATAATGATATTAAAGAATTTCCATTAAAGAAATATTTAATGCAGCCTTATCTAGGATCAAAAAGTATAGAAGATATTAAAAAAAAAATATTTAATTATCGATTATGTAAAGGAAGAAGATTAGTCGAGTATGCATTTGGAATTTTATCACAAACCTTCAAAGTTTATTGTAGAAAACTCATAGCTAATCCTGAAAATGCTACTACAAGGTGGAAATGTACAAGCTGAAGCGTTTCAAACGAGGGAGCGCAGTCCCATCCCAGGAAAATATTCTTCGTGAGAAATCGAGACCGGACCGGGACTGGAGCGTGATCGAACCGGAGCTGGAGCGGACGCATAGTGTATATGCTCTCATAAGATTTACATTGGAGTATATTTTACCGGACCGGGAGCGAACCGAACAAGTGGCTCAAGTGGCTACTATTCGAGAGCGATTGGGAGCGGACTGGGATCGAAGCGAGATGGTCGTGAGACTGGAGTGTGACCGGACCGGAGCTGGCAAGTGTGTATGCTCTCATAAGATTTACATTGGAGTATATTTTACCGGACCGAGAATGGACCGGGACCGAACCGCTAGTGTGTATCGGGCCTAAGACGTTCTTGACTAAGATCGTCTTATTCGAATAAGCAATGCTTAAGTCGCTATTTATTCAGAGTCGGAGAATAAGACCGACTTAGTTAAGGAAGCGATGCTTAAGCTTTGCTTAGTGAAGTCCATGCTTAAGCAATGCTTATTTGACGTTCGGCTATTTCCGTCGATTTTCTACTGTAACAACCAATGAAAATGATTCTTGAAAATGTAGCATTATTTCTTACTTAGTGACGCGGGTTTTGAATTGAATTCAAATAATTGAGCGAGCGATAGACAGAGCCAAATTTATTAATAAAAAAGCCAAATTTATTAAGAACAATTTTATAATTAATGTTATCACATACGTTATAAAAATCTCTTATATTTAAAGTTTCATTCTGAAATACGAACACAAAATAACACAAAATTAAACTAACCACTGAAATTATTTAAAAATAAAATTTAAATGTAATTCTTTGTATTGATTACGAATCCTAAACTAATCTACAGCGAATTGAGCGATCGCGATGTAGTGGCGACAAACGCGTTGCAATTCTTTTTATAAGTTTCATTCGATATGTTAGCGACGGCATATTTTGGAGCCTTGTCCAAAGCGATTAGCCAGGCGCTATTGTGCTTTCGTACCATTTATGATAGGGACCAGTGCTGGTGGCCAGGTATCAGCTACCAGGTATCGAAAGACTATTCATACGAATGTAAAATGTGTAGAAAAGGCAAGCGGCCCGACGCTGTATTGCTAAAAATGTGGACTTTTTCGGAGTGGGGAAGGCATTGCCTTTTGGTAAGAAGACTGTGATGAACCCCACGGCACTTACCGTACGACCGTACATAGGAAAGAACAGTGCGATTTTCTATACAAAATGACTAGCAAGAAACATTTTACCGAACTCGATAAGAATACATTCGTAGCAATATTGAAAAAGTTTTCGCACATAGTAGAAAATAAGAAAAGTGACAGTTCCACTCTGAAGAACAAAGAAGATGCGTGGCAACAAATTACACAGCAATATAATATGTCTGCTGTGATTTCATCAAAGGTTTGTAGAATAAACGATATTATTACGTGAAACTGGGAATGCTTATCGCTATTTGGAATTTGGAACGCACTGTGTGCGCTCGTATTGATCAGCGTTTTTCCTTATTAATTTCAAAACGAAGCGACTTGCACTCATATTCTGGGGCACCCTGTAATATAAATTTTATTTTTCAGAGGAATACTGCACAACTGAAAAAGATGTGGAGTAATATGAAGGCTGCGCAACGAACCGCGATAATGAGGGAGAGACAATCCCGATTAGCAACAGGGGGAGGACCGGCAGAACCGGCAGCAGAAATAAATCCACAAATAGCGGAGATCGTGCCGTCATTAATGCAGAATGCGCCTACTATTTTATCCTCCAATTACACAGAGGAAGAATTGGCGAACAGACGCGATGCCATATTCCATGAGGAATATGTTTTGGACGATATTGAAGTGGTTGATAATCCTATTAGTATAAATAGCAGTCAAGAAGTTACTTACATAGTATGATGATGGTCGAGAAGTAGATAATTATACTACTGGTAATCGGACCCTAGAATACAGAAACGCGGAAATTGATGAACTCGTGGACAGCATGCTCCATCGAGGAAAACCGCAGAAAGCAGGCACTTCCGCCCATCCAAAGATGGATTATGACGAGAGGAGATTAAAATTAGAGCGAATCAAATGAAAAATGAAAATGAAGAAGAATTGGCGGACTTGAAACTGCGGCACGAGGAATGTAAAAACCAACTGGAAATGGAATTTTTAAAAACCAAATATGATTTCGAGATCCGTGCCGCAGCCGCAGCAGCAGAGAAAACTGAATTTGAATTAAAAGAACTGAAAGATAATAAACATTAAGAACAATCTTTTTAATTTATTTATATAAAATTTTATAATTTTCTAATACGTTTTAATTTCAGCCTCCTCTCATCATAATCCATCTTTGGAGCGGCGGAAGTGATTGGTCTTCGACGCTGCGATCCACGATTTCATCAATTTCATCCTTTTGGCATTCTGGGAAACGATTACCAATATCACAATGACCTTCTTCATGGCCCTCATTATTAATTTCCGTTGTAATGTAACTAATTTCTTGACTGGTGTTTATACTAATAGGATTATCATCCACTTCGATATCGTCCAAAACATATTCCTCATGGAATATGGCATCACGTTTGTTCGCCAACTCCTGGTAAATCAATTACATTGTATATGTATGTATGTATGTATATGTGTATATATAAAAAGTTATAATGATATAAAATCCACACCTGGTAAACCAATAGCTTCGTTTCCCTGTCCCAGATTATTGAATAACCTGCGATTTTGAGTGGAATTGTCCGGATCCCTGGGAAACTTGATATAGTCCATCATCAGATTGCCTATTAGTGAACTCACCCTAAATACTATGCGGGAGACTGTGGGCTGAGAAACATTCATCGTGTCTCCCAGAATAAGCTACAATTACAGTACATATATAGATAATCTTTATTTTTGTCTACCTCTTTTAGGATTAATGATACTGATATATTTACATGACTTACATGAAAACTTGCAGTAGCATAATACCGCAAACAAATTAACAACTGCATTGCAGGAGGGATCGGTAAACCGCGATTATTACCTTTCTGCAGCCCTGCTTCAATTGTAGGCAAAATTCCATTTAAAACAGAGTCTTTGGTAAACCGGTAGCGTCTACGGAATTCTTCCTCGTCAAAACAATCAAACGGATCACTCCCGTCTCGAATGTATCGCCTTGTTATTTCTGGATGTTCATTCTGGATGTCCTCAATGTCCTCAATGTCCTCGATATCATCGATATCCTCGAAGTCCATTTTAAATTGTTGAATAAATTGTTTAAATAAATTGTTGAATACACCACAATATTAGCTTCAAACGCGTGCTTAAGACGTTGAATGCCGACTACGAGAAATGCGTGGCTGGCGTTCTTGCCCAGGACGAGAATCCCGTTACTTTTACCGTATTCGTGTACCCTAACCTACTTCTTCCCGTCCCATCACTGCACAATAACACCTTCAAACGCGTGCTTAAGTCCTCAATATCGTCGACTTAAAAACATAACCTCAATGAAGCCAAATAAGAACTCGTTTTCTACAAATAAGGCGGACTTATTCGACTATGAATTCATAAGTGCTTAAGACTTTCTTAAGCATCGACTGTGAATCTACACCAATAAGCATTTACTTTTCTAAGCAAATGCTTAAGCTGATGCCAGCTGATGCTTAAGACGTTGCTTATTCGGCGACTGTGAATCTAGCCGATGTCTTAAGCATGTGCTTAAGCCCAGCTTAGAAATAAGTTGCGACTGTGAATACCGGCCTTAAGGCTGGTTCAGACACGGCTAGTAATTTAGTCGAGTGGGGAGTAGCTACTTACTACTAAACCGTTTAGCGCATAGAAAAGTGTCCGGACTAGTACAGCTGAGCTTTGGAAATCGAGAGTACAAGATATATCGCTTGACTAAAGAAATGGGTCCGGACAGGTCTGTTCGGAAACCTAGTTAGTGGTGGGGGAAGCCTACTCGACCAGAAAAATCCAATGAAACGGATCGACTCGACTAAACCGTTTTACGAAACTACTCGACTAAACTCTAGCGTCCATACACTAAACTACTCGCCACTCGACTAAACTACTAGCCGCGTCTGAACCAGTCTTTAGTGATGTTTCACAGGTTAGTACGACGCCATATTGTTTCTACGCATTCTCTGATTGGTTCGTTAAAATTACTGTAACTTCCGCTTACCTTATTTAAAAAACGTACTGCTCCTTGATTGCTGCGATCAAGGAATTCATAAGATATATTTGGTTAATTTTATAAAACCTACGCCACAATAATTCCCATAGGCGATCAGGAAAGCCTTCGTTGTGGAAGCGACTCCTTCCACGCATCCAATCTTTTGCCGGTCGACAGTTAGTTTCGAGTTTTTGCGTGTGGGTTCCATCTTGAGCTATAATTAAAGGTTGCACAAAACATTTATCTAATATCACATCAATGTGAAATTAAAGATAACGTCGCAGTAATACCCCTAGGGTGGTGAGGAAATTTACAATTTTAATACTGTCCTCTAAAACGGTTTTGTAATTAACTACGCAACTCTTCCCTTCAATAGCGCACTATACTAACTTTTTTTCCACATGTTCACATAACCTCTTTGGCTTCGTTCCAATAATTTCGCTAGTTTCAAGTTTTTATTAACTTATATACACGTTTATCAATTCTTAAATGTTTCAATTTGATCCAAAAATGGTTTCATTTTGCTTCATACCTAAATTTTCTTCAAACCACTGTAAATATTTCAAATATCATGCTTTACAACACTAAACTATTTCAAGAGTATACAAAATATATCACATTTATAAGAATTTTATACTACCACATCACTTCTACTCGCCATAGTTGCAATGTTTATGTATTGTTTATACATAATTAATACAAAATAGTGTATATTACTACAACTTTTAATTAAAAAAGACGTTCATTTCAATTCCGAGCACAGAACTCTGTTATTGAAAATAGGACTCCCGATTGTCACGTGAGCGGTGTTGCCACGTTGTTTAGCATGGCTAGTACTAGAGTTGGCTGTGCTAATAATGATCAAATACAGTATATAGGATGGTATAAATTTAACTATTTGTATAAAATGAAAATTGCGCCAAATCAAAACTTTATTATGATTGATTTATTCGAAACATTCGAAGAGTGTAAAAAATGAATCACAAAAAATAATATTGATAAATGCGCAAAGTGGCGTCGCGTAAGCACTGGAATGTTATCTATACGTGTGTAGTTGTGGTTATCCCAAAAATTGTAAAGACAATGCGCCTCTGGTGGCAAATCGCGTAAATATTTCTTGCGGAAATAATTATCGTGATTTATATTATTTGGAAATGTGAGAAGAATCATTAATGAGAGTATGTCAAGTAACGGTGATTAAAGCGATAAACGAATTCTATTGTGCCTCATTATACCTCAAGTGATTGAAATTCGTGTACTCGGTACGGGGTGAGTATTAAAAATGTTTATTCCCTCAGTTTTTAAAGGGGGGCGGTGGCTCGCATTAGTGTTTTTTAATGGTTTCTTTAAACATCTTCATCCCAAAAATAACGATGACCTTAAGATTCAGATACACCTAAAATTTCAAAATTATAAATTTACTACTTTGGAAGTTTGCATATGTTTTCCTGATCTTTTTTACGGTCCCTATATGTGCTAATTTTTTAAACATTAGTTTTATACAAATTAATTAGTCAAAATTTCTTAAATATATTTTACATTATTTTAATGATTAAAAATATCGTTTTTAATGATATTTTTCTTCAATGTCGTTTTACGTCTATAAAAAATAATTAAATACAGTGATTGATATTGAAAGAATTAAACGTATAATTTATTTTATTACTTGTGAATTACGATTTTTGAATTTTCTAGATTGTAGAAATTACACATCGTTTTTTATGATAGTTTAAAATCGATTGTTTTGTGTATAGAATGGACCTGGCAGAAACCATGAAAAATATTGTTGCCAAAGGTATGCAGTCTGAAATGGGACCACCAGGTGGAGGAGCTGGTTATCCTGGCGCACCAAGTAGTGTTGGTTATGTTACTGAAAAAATGTACACTTTATTGCAAGCTTATCTCCAAAACAAAGGTTGGAATCCAAGCATCGAACTGCTCCAATGTTTTTCAGAATTCAAGGATGCATCTATGATTCCAAGTGCTGCTTATTTGCAGTACGTGTACATAATTTATAATTTATATGCAAAACATTCTTTTCTTAAAAATATGATAAAAAAATAAAGGTGTTGATATTTTATTTATTTTATTACATGTTATAATATACAAATAGGATGATGGCAACAAGAATAGCTTTGGACTCTCAAGGACGACTAGTTCTTAGAGAAAATGGAAAAATAATATTGCCCTATGAACATTTTGCAAATGCTGTGATATTAAAGCATACAAATGGTCCACATGGTTTACATTTAGGATTAGAAGGCACAGTTAGAGCTGTCATGGAATCATATACTATAGGACGAGAATGTTTTGGTATGGAAAAAGAATTTATTATAGAAGTGGTACAAAACTGTCCAAATGCTGCATGCCGTTATTATAAAAATCAACTTGAATTAACACAAAAAATGGGACATATGGCTCCAACTTATATTCAGGATAATGAAACAACGGCTTCTCTATTACGTAGTAGATTTCCTCATAATACTGATTTTCAAGCAGTAAGTATAAGTGACTTCTTGTTAGTTTATACATATGTCTAATATATTTTAATGCGTATTATAGACTTTAAGCAACACTAATCCAAATACTCACATGGGAGGAGGTTCTGCAATAGATTTAGCAGAAATGAGAAGTGCTGGGAACCAAATGAATCTTCAGCGACCTCCAAGCCGTCCATCATTAAATATTCCACATCGATCTGTATCTCAAGAAAAGAAAGTAACTACTGGGAAGCAACATTATGAATCCTTAGTATCTACTATTCCAATATCTGATCACAAATTAACAGATTTTTTAAGAACAAATTTAGATAATTTGGACAATCTCACTGGACTTGGCTTAGGAAATATACAAGGAATAGGAAATGCAAATAAAGATTTGTTAGCTTTACATAATGGAGCTTGGCCATTAGAGAATGAAAAAGGATCTCGATCATTTTCAAATTCAGAAGGTTCATAGGTTATATAATCCTTAAGTTATAAAATTAAATATTAAGTTGAATCATTTAAAAACCCATATATCTAAGGAAATTTAAAACATTTTTATCGTACAGAAGTATGTTTGCAAAAACAAGTTTATGGATTAAAATTTAATTTTAAAATCATAATCTTTGAATTTCAAAGTTACTTATACTTTATAAACAAAAAAATATATTTTTAAATAATATTTAACGAACAAATATATTGAATAAATTTGTATAACTTTCTTCCAATTTCTAATTAATTTTACTAAGGATTTTTACATATTTGAATTTAAAAACAGAGTAGTTTTTCCATTTCTTAATTTTTTATTATAACTATTTAGTATAACAAAGTTAAAGACTTATTTTTGATTATTATTATTTAAAAAAAGAATCAAATATTAACAAATGTTAACTTTTATTTTGTAGGCGGGCAAGAAAAGATAGTAAGGGCATTTGAAGAAGTAATGAAGAATATAGCAAGAATGAAAGCTTGCGTGCGTCCCGCAATGTGCAAACCTTATGGAAAACAATCGGAGGCTTTGCAAAAAAGTAATAAAATACATAGGCTATTTGCTTAATCTTATATTTATATTACATTTTACAAATATTTGTTATTATTTAGTTTATAAATAACATCATATTGATGTATGTAATCTATCAATTACTTTGGTAATTTCAGTAAAATTTTTCTTTACTAATAAAATGGATAAAACAGATTGTTTGTTCTATTGCAGCATTGGTGGATACAATACAACTTGCACAATCACTGCGAAGTTTCTTGCCACCACCACATATTCCTGTATCAAGCTGGAAAAACGAAGATAAACATCGATTAGATCATACGGGTACTCCTTATCTTCCATCATTGTAAGTATATGTTGTTAATATTATAAGTCCAGTACTTTTATTACATGACTAGAGTTGACAAATAAAAAGTTATAATTTTTACGCAGAAAGACTGGAGGTTTAGAAGAGTTGTGTGAACAACGCAAGCTAGATTAAACAATGTCTTCGCTTTTTAATCATTACGTCAGGTTTTGTCTTTGCGCTCTATGATGTTCTAGTCATGTGGTGTTTATAGGTTAGATGGGTGTTTTGTATTTAAAAAAAAAACCCAAAGGATTGCTCAAATGTTGTTGGCGTTTAGGATTTCAAAATACTAAGAGATAAAATGAGTCATGCGTGGACTGTGATAAATGAGGGTAGTTAAAGTTTTATATATAGTCGATTGAAATTCATGCCGCTATTTAAAATTTGAACATTTGATCTCGTTTATGATTTGTGTATAAATGTTTACAACCTGCCTATAGAGTTTATTTAATGATTGGTTAAATGATGTTGAATTACTAATTTTATCGTAAATAATTTACATATTTTGGAAACATATTATAAAGTTGCATTTATATTTTATTGTTGTATATATACTGATTTAATAACCCACCATTTGTGTTCCAAAGATTACCTGATTAGTATTGTATTATAAAGATTATATATGATCGAAGTAAATTTTGTGTATTTACTAAAAATTTGAATGAAGTTTAGTGAAGATTAAATTTAGTGTTATATATATAAGTTTGAAATATTTGAAAACTAAATATTGTTACAAATATTTCAAATATGAGAATATAAATAATTATTGATTGTTATTATCATTTGATCTTGTATTGTTTTATCTTTGGATATGCTTTAAATATTTATTATATAGTTAAGAAATATTTTGATTGTTTTAATTATGTGAAATTATGTTAAAGATGCTAACGGTAAGATACAATAAATTTTCAATTTTTTAGGGATATTTTTATTATAAATTATTGTTTATTTATAAGGTTAAATAGAACATATATTTGACATGAGTTACGAAAAGTAGTATGTTTCATTTGTTTTACGAAGAACAGGCCATTTGAATTTGCCGCGTAAAGAAGCACATTTATATTACATTACATTAAATTTTACATACTTGGGTTTACAAGGGGAAGAGACAGGTGTGGAAATCGCTTTTGGAATGGCACTAGGTGGAAGTTGTAGTATACATGTAGGGTTACAAAACCCTAATGGGTTTCTTCAGAATGGGTCTTTGTTTTTGAGATATTTTAATGTAAAGTTTCGCACGTATCTGGTATGTCATATACTGTGCGTTGTTGGTAAGTTAATTCGTTGACCTGCCTCCGGTCACACGTATTATGTTTATTGGCCGAGGCCCTTACATCCACAAATCTATCGCGTGAAGAACGTCGCTAAGGACAGACATTGAAACAGAATGAGATGAAGCAATAGCGAGCGACGACTCGGACGCATTGACGTAGACGTAGATTCGGGGTTTATATTATTAAAAAAACAGGAGAGTTATTACACTTTCCATAATGTATTTCGATAAATTTTGCATAATATCAACTGTTGACAAGAACGAGTATTATAAAAAATTCATTAATATCCCGAAAAAATCGCATGTTTATATATTTTGCAATATTAGAATGAATTTTGATCTATTCTGTAACCATACAATTTTGATTATAGTTAAATGTATCTTCCGCGAATACGGAAATTTTACGCCTATGCAATGTAGCTGCTGACTTCTCAAGTTACGGGTTCTTGAAGGGGATTAGGTGGAGCGAACGCACAGTCCCCTTGCCCCTCTATCGGATCAGTTTGGTGGTGCTCGGCAACTTACCAGCAGCGAACAGTATTTAAGTAGGTAACTCTTGACTCGAAGATGGTTCTGTGGGTTAATTGCTAGAGCGCTATCCTGCTAGCGAGACGGCAGCGGTTCGAACCCAAACTTTATGGATAGTTATTTTTTTTCTCTTTTTTTACTAATTTTTGTTGTGAAAGTATACTTTCATATATTACATATTATGTAATATAGGTTATACGTTATTTTACATAAATTCTAAAATCGCAAATGCACTTATAACATTTTCTTATTCTAGTCCTATCTTTCGCCGGTGTTTTTATATTTTTGTATTGTGGAAATATTTGCCCGTCCAATTGCCATCGAAATTGACGTATTGTCAGTGTAAAGAAATACCTCTAATGAAGTGTGCGTGGTGTACAAATTCAATTTGTTTTACATGCTTTTACGATTTATTTCATCCCAGACATTGTACAGAATTTTTGAAATATTCAGAACTGTAAAATATAAACGAAGATTTGCAATGAGCAGATATAAGAATACTCTTACCATTAGGTGTGATCCTTACCCTATTTTACCTGCTTGACAATTGCAGTCATTAAAACTTTCGGTGTGAAATATTCGCACGGGTAAATACTTCCACAATACAAAAATATAAAAACACCGACGAAAGATAGGATTAGAATAAGAAAATGTATGTTATAAGTCCATTTGCAATTTTAAAATTTATGTAAAATAATGTATAACGTGTATTATATAATATGTAATATATGGAAGTATACTTTCATTACAGAAATTAGTAAAAAAAAAAAGAAAAAAAATATTATCCATAAGTTTGAATTCGAACTCCGAGCCGTCTCGCTAATAGGGTGGCGTTTTAGCACTTCACCCACGGAACCATCTTGGAAACAAAAGTTATCTAACAAGTACTGTCCACGGATGACAAGATGTCCCGCGGGACGGCACAGGGGCAAGGGGGGACCTCGTTCGCTCTGCCATTTAACGTCTTCATAACGCCAACGTTTGGGTTTTTGACCTCGCACGTTACATAGGCGTAGGATTTCTGTATTTACGAGGGTCGGGTTTCCTGACCTACCGTTAATCATTTCGTACTTTATATATTTAATATATCATTTCGTACTTAAAAAAAAAAGTCAAGTGGTTTAGTTCAATTTCAAAAAAATTATTCTGTTTTAAAACATCCACTGTATGCCTACGCCAATGCTCGCCTCGCACTATCTCACTCAGTCTCGATACGTCTCATCGACTTTCTTCGTCACACGGTCTGAATTAGTGTGCGTGATCGTTTTAACCAACAGCTCGCTAGAACCGAAAATGCGTGTGAAATGAGGTGTCTTCCTTCTATTCTGACCAATCAGATATGCGGCCTTCTCATGGGATATCTTGTCATCGTTGCACAGTACATGACATACCAGATACGTGCAAAACCTTACATTAAAATATCTTAAAAACGAAGGCCCATTCTGAAGAAACCCATTAGGGTTTTGTAACCCTACATGTATACTACAACTTTCACCTAGTGCCATTCCAAAAGCGATTCCCACACTTGTCCCTTCCCCTTGTTAGCTCAAGTTGGCGCTTTGTAGGGCGGACTCCCCCCCCCCCCCCCCCCCCCCCTATATTGTTGATTGATTGCTTGACTGCGGAGTCTTCTTGGGCTTGCCCAAGATGGGAGGGGGGGGGGGGGGGGGGGGGGGGGGGGGGGGGGGGGGGTGCTATATCGCCCAACGAACTTTAACGGCCATTTCTCGCCAGGTACAAATTCCATGCGCGCGTTGTGCATCACGCAAAAATACAAAATTTATCAAACTCATATACCGATTACATTATATTCGGTTTCATTCCTCATTCCTTTAGTCTTACCCTTTTCCTCCTATTGTCTTATCCACATCATGCACACCTCCACCTACCAAGGAGTTGCCCCCTGCACATCTCACCTATTGTTTCTATCCCTCATATTACTTTCTTTAGTTTATCTAGGAATCTGGAAATTGCTTTGAAAACTCCTACCTTACCTCCCATCATCGTGCTATATACATCCGTTCCTATCCTTACCCCTTTTTCCTCTAACATGTTTCCCAATTGCCTGCTTTCCACGTAGAATTTTCCACATTCCCATATTACATGGTCTAGGTTTTCCTCCCCCCGTCCACATAGTCATGCCTGGCTCTCTACTAGTCCTTTTCTAAACAGTGATTCCCCCAAATTAAAATGGTTTGCCCTTATTCTATTCCACCTTGTTAGAACTCCTCTTTTGATCCTTCTAATTTATACAAACCAGGACCTTCTGGAGCCTATATTAGTATTCTCGCTCTCAAAGTCTTTCACCCCTTTACTTCCCCTTATCCTTTTCGATTTCTCCGTCGTCCTCCTCCAGGCGCCTTCCACTATGTACTTATTTACATATATCTTTAAAAGCTATTCTATATTCCACTGTTTCTTCTCTTGTCGCCTCTCCCGCCAGAAGGTCAGCTCTTTCGTTGCCTTCGATCCCCACATGACCGGGAACCCAGGCCATTCCTATTCTGCCCTTCCTTACGCCCTCCTGGTCTCCGCTTCACTCCTCCCTGCCCCATTGGATGGGGCGGCGCTGTCATAAGTTCTCTAACAATATCATGGACCCAGGGGTTATCCTACTCTCTACTCCCGAAGTTCTCCAGTTTTTTCAGAACATTCTCCGAGTCCATAGTTAAAAGTGGTTTTAAAATATAGCTGTGCCTCCTTTGCATATCTGATTGCTTGGAGAATAACAAAAGCTTCCGCGGAAAAAACTGAAGTGGCCCTATGGAGTGACCAATTCTGTTCTTCCCATATTCCCTATTTGTCTCTAATAGCTAAACCAGCCCCCACTGAAAACCCTCCTGTCTTTGATCCATTTGTATGCAGTTTCAAAACTTGTTCCTGACCTAAGGTTTCTCACAATTTCTCCTTTATTTCTCTTACCAAAATCCTATCCTCAATTAAAACCTCCTTTCTTTTCCTTTCCATTTCCCTTTTTAACCCTATTCCTTTCTCGTATAGGAGCCTGCTCATTTCCAACCATCCCTTCTTTCCAAATATCCTAGTTTTGCCCTGCTGCAGTATACTTCTGCCCTCACCCATGCCTTCGCCCATGGTTCCATATTTTCCAGTCTGTCCTTGTTATGACTTGGTCTATGGATAATAATTCAATCTTTGCTTTGGTACTATCTTTATTGCAGAAACGATCTCTCGGCTATTTCGCTCGGCGGTTCGCTTCTCTCTGCTCACTTCATACTTTTCTTCCAGGCATACCACACACAGTTCATGCTTTCTATCCATCAACCGCTTAGCCATAGATCATACATTCTCACCAGTCGCACCACTCACTCGATATTTACATTATTATTTATGCTCCGCTACATCACTCCGCTTTCAGTAACTCATTGTCAGTTACTATACAAGTTACGTTACAGTTTAACAAGATTTTCCTTGTCGTTTACATTTATTTGTTTCATATTACGTTTCACAGTCTTTTCCGCGTGACTCTACACTTATAAATAGTAACGACAACTATGTATAAAAATATAGGAACGCGGAATAAATTATATTACTTCTATTTACAGTTTTTGTACTCGTTATTGCGCTATACTCCGTCTCGGAATCTTACCGGGGGTTTTATCGTTCCTTTTACGCGTGTTGATGCAGTGGGTTGTACGCTGTATGTTACTATCTCTGGGTATAAGCAAAGAGGATCTGAAAATTTAGACGAGTGTTTTATTGTACTAATTTTATTGTTCCCGTCTATTTACATTATTTCGCTTTTTATAGACAATTG